GAGCACACCTCGTTTTTCAGACCGATGAGTTTTGTAAAAATCGACGCGTTTCAGAAAGGCGGGGCATAGAGGAGAAACAATAATGTACAGTATGTGGAAAATAATGTTTTTTTTTTTTTACTTTAAACCGCATAAACACATTTCATTACACCAAATACACAAAATAATGTTCTTTTTAGCAACATCATATGACCCCTTTAACCAAGTTTCATACAATTCTGATGAAGTAAAAAAAATTCTAAAAAACCAAAACAAAAAACTTTTTGATCAAAAATGACCAAACAGCACCAGAGGGTTAAATAAACCAAAATTCCAGACTTTCAACGTATCTCAGATTTTTGGAGCCAACTGTGCATCTGGACAGATTGGCATCCAAAATCCCATGTTTCGTAATCTATAGTCAAGGGAATTACATCATATCAAATCTGTGTTACTGTATTTCATGCACTCCTTTCCTTAATCCATAAATGTTCACATTACAAATGTTTATTTGGCTATGAAGAATAGAATTAGAAATAATGCATGGCCAATCTACAGCGTTTGACCTACCTCCAATGTTTCTTTGTGTGCGAGTTTATTTTTCCATCTCATTTTCCTCTCAATATGTCTGAAGCTCTATGGAAAAAGAGGCTTGGCCTGCAACGTGATTGGTACTGTGACAGTTACATTAGTTAAATCAAATACCTTTCATTCAGATCCGGTAATGAAGTGTAACGCTGCACCTCGTGCACATGATTAACTAGCGGCAAAGCTTCCAAGAAATGCACATACTAGGACACTTTTTCTAGCAACAGTGTACTTTAATGTAACTGATTTGGATCGCTCTTTAATGTTTTTTTTTGCCAAAACAATACAATGGAGGCTGTAAAACATGAAGCAAATAAAACACCTTGGTTCTGTACAGCAATAGTAGCTCGATCACACATTCTAAGTCTGTTAACAATTGAACATAAAAAAATATAATAATACAACACTGCTGACTAATACATGGAGGAGTGGGGAGCTGATTTTGGTGGAAGATCTCTTTCTCTGACTGCCTAAATATTTTCAGGTAATTGCAAATACCTCGTAATTTCTGTGGTTTGTAAATGACTGTTTGGATAACACAGTTTGTGTTGTTTATCTAAGCCCGTGCACCGAATGGAATATTCAGAAAGGCAAGCAAAGCAAGTAAATATATATTCTAGTGTGCATAATCACTCTTACACCATGTTTACACCAGACGCATCCAGCACCACAAATGTAGAGGACTCCCATTTTAATCAATTCAGCTGCCTACACTTTCTAGTGACTTAATTATACCCGTCAATCTGAAATCAAATCATTTTACTTGCAAAGTTCATACATGTGAATTAATTGCTATGAATTTAATTCATGTATTTACATAACTTGATTATTATCAAAGTCATTTTAAGATTTTAAGGTCCTAAATTATATATTTTTGGCATAGTTATTATCCATTTATTACCTATTAACCACTTTTTGAGCATAGACCTAAAAATGAAATTTCCAGCTTAAACTCTCATAAATCTTGAATGCTTTGGAGCACAGACTTAATTTTGGCAAATTATTACTGAAGTGCTTAGATTATTACGTCAAAGTCAGATTGTGAAATGGTCTTTGGCCTACTAATTTAAACCATCTAACCATATGTACTCAATTGTTGCAATGCAAAAGTGCACCTCATTCATGAATTGATTGCACACAATGACTGTGTAAATTGTAAATTAATTCTTATTTAAACTGATTTAAATGCAACTTCTTACATAAGAATGGGCCTACAAGAAATTCTGCACAAGAAAGTCGCTATTTTAAAACAACCCATGCAAAGTCAGTTTTAAAATAGGATTTTATTTTCCACAGATTGCACTTTGAGCCTCGAGCTTCCAGTGTAGACAACCTCACGCTGCTGGACGCTTCCAGTGTAAACACGGTGTTGCTGTTAGGATAATTGAAGCAGTCATATTATTTGATATTTTGCTGTTTTTCAGCTCTTGATCATTAAGTGCTTTGCATTCTTTTGGAGCAGTTTTGAAAGGCTAAACACAAGGGAATCATAGCAACCAAACACAGTGGAACACGTCATATAGCATGTGCATTGAGTCAAAACAGACCCCCATGCCAAAAACAACAAGCCGTCGTTTGCACACAACCAGACAGTGGCGTACAAACATGAAATAAAATCTTTGGCAAAAATGAAGTATTTACATACAAAAAAAGCAAGACACCCTAATTGGGGAGACATGGGACAGTTGTCAGGGTGGCATGGACATCCTGCGTAAACGAAAGAATTGCTGGGGACTTTCTCTGCAAATCACAGTTAAAACACTGCAGTATTACTTTTCATCTAAATTTAATAAGGGTTCAGAACGGTTCTGTGTATCTAAGGGAATTGTAGAGGATGCATAGATGATGATATGGCTGGCAATACCTGACAGTGCCTCACGATGGCAGTATAAAACAAAATACTGAATTCTGCCTGAGAGAATCACTGTGAGCGGCCAAACAAGTGGGTTTCACTGAGGGCTAAATACTGGGAGGGAAAGGACGCCAAAATAATAATAATAACAATAATACAAAAATAAAGACGCTTCCTTACTTTTCTTTACACAAAGCCTCTTGCAGTAAACATATCAGCCAACTCACTTTATCCAAAGGAACTTTAGGATGTAACCCTAACGTATGCAAAAGCGACAGCGAGTTCTACTTTAAAGTCTATGTCGATATATAAAGCTAAAGAAAAACGACGGGAGAAAATATCCAGTAATGACAAGCTTTCCAAATACATACACTTTACACCATATATCATAGAATGCTTCTCAAAATCTCACGATTTTGAAATATTAGCCAAAATAAAGATTATTTCTTGTGGAGGCTAATCTTTATGTAGACTATACAATATATCTATGGGTAAATGAGTTAACATGGAGCAAAAAAAAAAAGTAGCAAAACCCTAATAATACAATAAATATTCAGTAAAATCACTTTTTGTTGTATTTTATATATATATACTTAGCTTACTTTGGGGTAGAATGATAGTGTGAGTGTGTTTGAAGCAAGGTATAGAGATACAGTGACAGATCCACACCTTACTGCCAGATACACAACGATACACACACGAGTCAGACCTGAAGAGAAGAGAGCACAGCAGCAGCTCATGGACGCTAGCAAGTGGAGACCAGGAACTGAAAGTTGACGCTGGACACGTGCATAAAAGATCTTGAGAAGTCTGTGTTATATTGTGTTCAATTCAGCTCAAGCTTGAAAAGTGCAATAGAACAGCATATAAAATTGGATGTCCATCCATTACTGTGATTTCAGAGACATTTCCCAAACGCCCAAGTGGAAAGAGCTGAATGCAACATTTTGATTCATAATGGAGTTTTGGTTCCTTGCCACTGTCACTTTTGGCTTGCTCACTTGAAAATAATTAATATTCAGAAACTATTATCTATTTGACTGCACTGACACTATCCAATAAAAAAAAAAACAATTTGAATTGAGTTGGATAATGAGATAATTTTCTTCTGTAGAGCTGCCTTTGAAATCATTTTATGAACTTTCCAACATTGACACTTAGTGAACTGAATCAACACTGAACTAAACTAAGCTGAATAATCACACAATTTGAAAAATTGTGTTTGTAAAGTTGCTTTACAGCTGAAATTGAAGTTGTTCCATAATTGATTAATTTAGCAAATGTAACACTCTTATTTTCCTGTTTATTGTTTAAGCTGATTTAAATCTGTATTGTATAAAGCACTTTAAAATAAATGTGACTTGAAATGCATGACATCATGCAAACAGATAAATGCACAGACAATGATAAATGTTCACAAATAAAAACTGTTTTTTTTTTTTTTGGACAACGAATGCAATTTGGTTGCTATACTTGTTGACAGTCAAACACCTGCAAAATGGTGTCGCCATTATTTTTTTCCTTACACGTCATCTGTCAGTCTGTCTTCAAATGCCATTCTATTGCACTTTCCCGAGATATCTGGAAATTAAGACTTTCCAAATGGCAACTGCTGGATATTCATGGACCAGAGGTGAACGGAGACGCTGAATTACTGAAACAACTCCAGCATCCCATGTACTCTCAGAAAAGCATCTTTGAGGATGGGAATATCTAACCCATCCTGACCTTTAGCTTCTGCTACTGTAGGTTCTGCTGTTATGTGCAAGACACCTTTAAAATCCCCACAAGGTTTTGAGTTTATCCAGAGTGGACTCTTAGCTGACGTGGACTCACGCACTTTTAGCGTGAGAAACATTAGCCGCTTTCAGAAGGAAAAGAGGTGATGCTTCAGTTCATATGTACAGTTTTGACGAAGCAGCTGGGGTTTACCAAGATATACAAGGACGCTTGATTAATGATTGGTTTGTCCTGACTGCTCTCTTATCTTTGGTACACCAGCCCCACATTTCAGCCTCTTCATCAACTCTTTTTTTTTTTTTTTTTTTTTTTTTTTTTTTTCTTTTTTTTTTAAAAAACAACTCCCCTCCGAGTGAGATGAAGATCACCTCCCCTCTGTACTTCACTCCTCTACGCTCACACTGCACTTCCTCTGTCCCTCTTCCTCACTGCCGTCCGAATAACCCTTCTTCACACATACACACAGCCTCTCACCCAAACATACAGAACAAAAAACAGAAACTTAAAAAGAATTCAAACAGAGCAAAATGAAAGTCCTCCAGAAAGCAGCGCTGCGTGAAGAGTTCACCGCTTCTGAGAGTTGATCATCACTTTAGAGACGAAGTTGACGATGGCCGTGGCCGGTTGATCGGGATCCATCTCGGCAAACAGGTGACTGACGTTGTCTGTCGTGCTGCCTTGCTTTCTGGCCACAAAGCCAAAGAACCTGTGAAGAAGAAAAAAAATATTGATGCACTGTTTGTATTAAGGACAGTTCACACACATCGCTTTCTTGCATTCTGTCTGCAAGATCAGGAGCTAGTGAAGGCTTGAAACTTGTTAGCAAGATTCACAACAGTACTTGGGTGAATCTTACAATACATGTCCAGGTCACATTCCACCCCAAAATTGAAAGGAAATGATTAGGATGTAAATCTAAATCTGAAATGTAGTCTGTCTAATGTGTCTTTCAGAAGCAGCCCAGATCGAGCCGTGAGGGCTGTCACATGCCTCATTGCACCGAGAGTGTAAAGTGTCTTGTGCTTGAAAACTCAAGTGCTTAGTAAAGAGATCTGCTCAGATTAGGTGTGAGAGGATCATATTATACGGTTATTTTGGGCCAAAAATCATCTCTATGGTTCTTAGAATTAAATCGGCTCCTTTTTGTCTCTTTAAAGGAATAGTTCACCCAAAAACATAAATTCTGTCATCATTTATAAATGTTGGTAACCAAACAGCTGACGGTAGCCATTGACTTCCATAGTATGGGGGAAAAAAAAAAAACTATGGAAGTCAATGGCCACCAGTGACTGTTTGGTTACCAACATTCTTCAAAATCTCTTCTTTTGTGTTCAACAGAAGACAGAAGCTCATACAGGTTTGGAACAACTTGGGTGAGAAAATCATGACAGAACTTATGAGAATGATGAAGCATCTGAGAAGCATTTATCCTTCATATATGTAGTAGGGCTGTCAAAATAGCTGAAAAACTTAAATCAAATTTTTTACCTAAATATGATCAAAATTCGAATTATATTCGAATTTAAAATGCATAATTTCAGTTAGGGTGAAGAAAAGATTTTGGCTTCTCTCCTGAGGCCACAAGAGGGCGCATCGAGCAAAATATTACTAATGCACGTTTATTCAAAGTGCATAATGTTTAAAATAATGTTTATAAACCAATTATAATTAAGTTGCTTAAACAACTATAAACAAGACAACATCATGTATGTATGCATAGTTTAATACAAAGGACCGAAATCACACAGAGTACATTTTTCATTTAAAAACACGAGTTGCATTCATTTTACATGGCTTTCTAAACATGCGGCTCCTTTGTGTGAGATGCGAGTGCAACGGTAATAGACGTCCCTCTAGAAAACGCGCGAAATATGCGTTCTGTGTGAACGGCTTGGTTTCAGTTTTGACGTAAACAAGATCTCCGCATTGATGTTCTCTTTTTCCGCAATATTTGTAATTAACAACGCAGCAGCGCCGCATCTAGTGGCTTCAACTGGATAGGTTAACAAAAACATTAAAATGCAATGACACTTACATCGTCATCGCATCTCGTGCGCCACTGATAAGGCTGCCTCCTTAATGTACACCTAAAATGTGGATTTTTAATTTAAATTTGATGAATATTCGAAATTCGAATTTTTTTTGACAGCCCTAATATGTAGTGTGTGGCCTCAGAGGGTAAATCATGACACACATGTGTGAAGGTTAGCACGTTAGCATCATGTTCTGTGCCGTAGCTAAGACAGCAGAGATCACAATCAGATCACAGCTCATTCATCATGATAGCCCTGAGCATAGGCACTCTATCCCATGATGCACCAGAAAGGGGGAGCAGAGCTTGCTGATACATATCTAAACTGCTTTCAGATAACACGTCTGCTGAGCTGCAGAAGATCGAGTTCTCCGTTATCAAAACTTACTTTGCAGTGCCACCCTCTGATTTGCTCCACCTGGAACGACATTGAAACAGATTATAGCTGTTTAACTTTACAGCATTAACTAAAAAATAATAATACAGGTGCATCTCAATAAATTAGAATGTCGTGGAAAAGTTCATTTATTTCAGTAATTCAACTCAAATTGTGAAACTCGTGTATTAAATAAATTCAATGCACACAGACGGAAGTAGTTTAAAGGGGTCATATGATGCTTTTTTAAAGATCATTATTTTGTGTATTTGGTGTAACAGAATATGTTGACATGCTTTAATGTTCAAAAAACACATTATTTTTCAAATACTGTACATTATTGTAGGTCCTCTATGCCCCGCCTCTCTCAAACGCTTCGTTTTCTACAAAGTCCCTCCTTCCGACAAGCGCAGTCTGCTCTGATTGGCCAGCTGACCCAGTGCATTGTGATTGGCCGAACACCGCAAGCACTCGTTGGAAATGTAACGCCCCTTACCATAATCGTGAGCTTCATCTTTCAAAATAAATGTAGAGACAGAGCCCGAAAGGGGAACAGAGTCGTGTGACAGACACAGTGATGAAGCTGGTATGTGTTTGTGATGTGACCCCCTCTCTCTCTCTCTCTCGCTCTCTCTCTCTCGCGCTCTCTCTCTCTCTCGCGCGCTCTCGTTCTCTCTCTCTCTCTCGCGCTCTCTCTCTCGCACTCTCTCTCTCTCGCGCGCGCTCTCTCTCGCTCTCTCTCGCTCGCGCACACACACACACGATGCGCAAAACTCCGCATTTGAAGAGTCAATAGCAAATACTTAAACTAATCAAAACAGTAGCTGATTCAGAAGCGCCAGATTGTCATAGCAAAGTCAGAATTACCTCCTCTCCTAGGTAGGCGAAACGGTCGTCCATAAAATGCATTGCTGTTCTGTTGTAAGTAATCTTAAAGATTCCTAAATGCATCTACTTTCGGAAGGCCAAATAAAGTGCTTTTGCTTTCGCCTAGAAACACACAGCATCTCCCTGACATGCTGCTTCAACACTAACTGCGGTTACTGAAACCACGCCTTCTTTCTTTACGACATTCTAATTTATTGAGATGCACCTGTATATTTTATTTATAGAGAACTTTTCAAGGAACGCACACAGATGCTTTACAAGAGATAAAATACCTGAAAATCTATTAAATAGAAGCAATAACTGCATTAATAATCACACATTAAAAGCAATACTAAAACGTGAGTTTTGAGTAATGATTTGAATATAGAAAAATCAATAATACTTCAAAAAATAGACCTTTCGGTCTTTCTTCTTCAAAATTTCATGTTTAATTTAATGTGTTATTTGCTGTTTCCACCAATTTCTGAGTAGTACTAGCTCATGTATTTATACTGTAAAAAATGGTTGCTCTAATGCTAAGGTGTTCTGAATGGTTCTTAGTGTGTATAGTTTTGCATTTTTACAAAAAGCTCTGCTCTATTATTTTTCCTACAACATTCTATATTCATTTTCTATTTTTTCACACATTTCTTGAGAATTGATTATATTTATTACATTCTCTCTTTTATTATGTGTGTGTGTGTGTGTGTGTCTATAATTGTAAAAATCGCTACATTACATCACATGTACATAATATGTATGTGACAAATAAAGGACCTTGAAACTTAAAACTTAAGGTTAAAGCTTTGAAAAATCCTTGAACTGTAATAATGAGCAACATTAACAGCCTTACTGCCTGACAAACACTGCTAAAAAAGCTGACAACTCCTAATAGACTTCAACATAATTCTGATCCTGTCACCAGATCCACTGATCAATACAGAAATGTTGTGACATTGACTGCTGTGGTTAAAGTTAATGCTAATGTTTCAGGGTTTGCTTACTTCCTCTCCTGTGGATCAAGGTCGCAGAACGTGACCGTGCTGATGGGATAATGGCGTCTGAAGAAAAGCCTGTTGAGGAAACGACAGATATGTGCTTTTAAAACATGTTCGGATGTAGCCTTGGAATACATTAAGATTCGAAAAGAAAGAAAGAAAAAGAAACTCACTTTCTCTGGTTGTCAGTGAGCGTGATGCCTTGTGCCGACACCTTAAAGTGAACAATGGTGGCTGAAGGTGCGGGACTGGCTGCCATGGTTTCTGAGATGGCCTTGGCGATGGCCTGAGGCCCAGTCAGAGACTCCATATCCACAGAGTTTATGTACAGGACATTGCATGCTGGGAAAGACAAGAAAACATGCATAGATCAATAACCATGGTGGTATCTGCAAAGAATTAAATTACTACTGCATTATGTAAGGCAGATGCGCCTTAAACTCTGATCTTCACACATACTGTGATTTTGTCAAACATACACATATCATTAGTATAGTATATTCTGCATTTGCATAATCCAGTGGTTCTCAAAGTGTGGGTCGGAGGTATTGGCGTAAATTCTGAACTCTCATTCATAACCACATTTTCAAACATGCTGCACTGGTGATTCACCAGTGTTATTTTAATATTATTTATGTACTATTACAGAATTTATAAAAAGTTTGAATTAGCCTTTATTTTTATATTTTCCATTTTGATTTGAATTTTAAGTTTTACTAAATCTGTCATTTTTTATTATTTCTACTTAGCTTTCATTTATTTTTACTTCAGTTTTAGTCATTTAAGTACTTGTTTTATTTCATTTAAATTGTAATGTGTATTTTTTTTTTATCTAATATGTATAACTCATTTAAGCTGTTTCAATAAAGGAAAAGTATTTTTAATATTTTCAGTTAACAATAACAACACTGCAATTCAAGCAAAGAACCAATGAAGTTTGTGTCCAGTTCCTTTTTTTTTTATTTTTTACTATTAAATGTATTATTCTTATTTTTTCTTATTATTTCTGGGTGAACTACTCTTCAATATTGCTCCCGCAAATCAGTATTAATGTTTTATTTATTTATTTTATTATATATAAAACATATCTTTAAAATATTTTATGTATTTTTGAATGCATTTTGGATGCATTTTTTCTCCTTTTTTATTACTAGAAAGACATATCATAAGACTATAGAAAGAAAATGCAGGTAATGTTTTTTTTTTAAATAACTTAATCTACAGTTCAACAGTATTCTGTACTTTACCAAAATGTGGCAACAATTGATTAGTATTCGTAATTGAGATTTTTTTTTTCTCTCAAAGGCGGAGATGAAAAGAAATTGAGAACCACTGGCATCATCTATCAGTAGATCCATGCATAGTAATCTAACATCAGTCATGAAAGAACATGCCACATTCATTTAGAAAGGTGTTCTTGAAATACAATCGAGGCCTTGACAAAAAGCTGAAAACACAGCAGCCGAACAGTTTTTAGCAGACAGGTGAAGGTACTTCTGGAGGTCTGGACCATCACATGCACAGACAGTAGTAAAAGAGGAGTGCGGTTCTCTCTCTAGACACGGCAGTCAAAGTCAGGTTAAACACAATGACACAGATAAATGAATAAAATATGCAGAGCATCACTGGGTTTACCATGGGAGTCAGATGAACTCTTCTGCCCTAAATCATTTCCACAGGAGTGACACCAGGGTGGGGAAGAACATGGCAGTTGGTTCAGAGTTGATATCAGATCATAAACAAGCAACAAAAAGCTACTGTAACTGCACTAACACTTGGACTAATGGAGAAAACCCACATTAAATGTACTGTAGAGAGCATAAACAGAGATCTAAGATGAATAAATACTGCTGATAAATTCACATCTATCACATATTTAGGGATTTTGCTGAATGAAGTAGTGCTAAACACATTGAACTTTGATGCTTTTAAAAAAATACTGTTTTTAAACAAAGGTTGCACATTAACCATATTACCTTTTTTTTTTACAGTATAGATATTATTTTACCCCATAATATACTGTATATCTACTGTATTTTCTCACTGTAGTAGAAGCAAGAAAATATGAACTTTTGTTTAAAATTCTCTGCGTTTCGATTCATTGCATTTACATGCAAATTCAATGTATTATATCTATCAACATTTTAAATATTACCTCTATTGCCAAAATTTAAGGCATAATGTTGAATACCACAAAATATAACGGGCTAATCCTGGGTTTTCTTTTCTTTTTTTTTAAATATTGTTTCAAAAACACAGTCTAGCATTTCCGACTGATTAAAAACTAAAATGTGCAGCTCATATTTTTGTTAAATGTTTGTTGTCTGGTCCATGTATTTCTTGTGCAAGTTCCTTACTGAAACCATGATTATTGCTTTTTTTAAAACACTGAGAGACAAGTCAAAAGGTTGTTTTCTGTGGTGATTAACACTGTGCCACAAATGAATCTGGAACATTGCTTTTTATGAGGTTTAGAGGAATAAAAATATTTTATACTCTTAATAACTCATGTAAATATTCTTACCTGCACCCTGTTTGAGCATCTCTGCTGCCGGGTTAGTTGGCGTTGCGATCTCAGGTGACTCCTCTAGAGGATCTGTAAAAATGACAACGGGTCAAAGTTTAGACTGTGCACATCCTGTCCGTTTGAGTGCTATGGCCTGTCGTTCTGTTGCGAGAATTCTTGCTATGCTAGGAATCAAAGCGCCTGGCTAACACGCTGTCACACAGTGTTTGAAAAGGCAGAGATGCACACATAAAGGTGTGTGGTTTCATGCCCCCTGACACCTGAATGGCACATAGCAGTTGGCTGAGGACGGAGGCCAGCTGAATGCACAGACCTCGGAAAATGCTCACAATTATTCACACCGGGCAAACAGGACATACATCATCATGACAGAGAGCACAGCTAAGTGAGGTCATGATGAGTAGGCATGTACAGTACGTACAAAAAAGTCACAGTGGAAGTATGCATCTGGCCTTACTAATTTGTATTTTTTTAGATATTGTTTTGCTTTAACAACAGTATCAATCAAATTTTCATGTTTGAACAAAAGAGTACAGATGCTTAGGTTTCCTTGTATTTTTCTGCAAATTGTGTGAAATTGTTGGATAAATACACCAAGGAGCACATACAAAACTGAAATATGCATAAAAACCATATGCACTCCCATGAGATGGATAAACATTTCATTCAGAGAGATAGTATGTGCATAAGCTACAATAAAACACACTTACCAAATACATTTATAGATGTGCATGTAAAAAGTCATGTTACTTTTCCTCAAGTCACGTGACTGAATAATCACTTCAATTGGTTACTATGACCTTCCAAAACTGTCCCATTTAGTTACCAAACATAATGGATCTTTTGAAAAATGCTAGCAAACATGAAGTTTAACAGATCATTTTGTCTGCAGCTCTAAACTGCATTTTTTAAAAATATTTAATAAAAAGTCACAGCAGCTTACACAGTGGGAAAAAAAACTAAATAAATTAAAAATACATAAAAAAATAACTTTTTTTTTTACTTAAATGTTTATTCACATTTAACCAGGAGAGACACAAGGGCCCACGACCGATCTAAAGTATCCAGATAGACATTTGTTATCCATTCTCAATGTGAAAGTGCCCAAGCAACATTGCTCAAAAAAAGTTGCCCGGCAAAATTGCTCAAAAAGTTGCCCCGTGTATCATCAGCCTTAGACTTTTGGACCCCATTGTATGTGTAGAGAAAGTGATATGATGTCTCACCTCTGGTTGGTATGACTAGTTTGCAGGGTAGAGACAGAGGAGTGATTGAGTGCTGGTAGACCAGTGCAGACAGGCAGCCTGAACACAGAAAACATGAAAACAAAATTGGAGTCAAGATTTACGAGCAGAAATCAGAGGAGGGCATACTTTACATTACAACCCTCCCGAAGCGGTCAAACTTTGATGCTCGGCATTGACAAACCATAAATCCATTTTGTTGACCAGTTGTGTCAGCGAAAGTTGGATGATAGGAGGGACAGTTATACCGACACTTGGTTTAACCTCCAGAGTCTTTCTTTATTAAACCTCTCCTTCAAATATTTGACTATATTAGGAAAAAAACAACTGGAGAGACTTTGCTTGGGCAGAATGTTTCCCACTGCTCATGAGAAACCGCAGAACTGCAGAAGCAAAATGTCCAGGTTGATAGTGGAAAGGAGTCCTTGATGCCAATTTTAAATGTTATTATCAGCTTTTAAACTCTCCTCCTTCAGCAATCAGATTTTATCAACACTAACTGAGGACAGTTTACTTTAAGGCCCCTTTACAGGAATAGTTCACTCCTAAACAGCTACTCAACCTTTATGTTGTCCCAAACCCCACTTTCTTCTTTAAGTGGTGAAATTTTGTAGAATTATGTCCATTCTTTTCATTATTTGAAATTAAATGATGACAGAAGTTGTCAAGCTCCAAAACAAAAAGACATAAAACACCATAAAGTGTCACAAAAGCAGTCAATATGACTGGTGCACTATAATACAAGCCTTCTGAACCCATATGACAGTTTTATGCCAAAAAAAAATTAGAAAGAGACCTAAATGTAAGTTGTTATTCACTAAAAATCAAATATGGCACTGTTAAAAGCATTGTGTCAGATTTGAGGTCAATGTTGTTCAGTCACAAAACACACAAAGACCAAAAACCTGACACGGCACTTTGAACTATGCAAGATTTTCAGTGGAAAAAAACAACATTTTGATCTTTTCATCACACAAAGCTATCATATGACATCAGAAAACTTAGCGCTTAAGTTGGTTGGACAAGTTTTATGATATTTTTATGGAGCTTTTGTCCTTTTTGATAACCGTAGTCCCTGTGAACTGAATAAAAAGTAGCTTAAAGATTCTACGGAAATTCACCTTTTGTAACAACAGCTAAATTTAACAGCATAGGGGTTTGGAATGACAGGATGATGAGAAACATAACACCACTTTTTTGGGTGAACTGTTCCTGTAAGCAGTGGGCGTCCTGGCCGAGATTCAACCGCAGGAGTGGAGCTTAAATATCGCTGTATGTTTATTAACACGAGTGCTATTCCCGACAACAGAGAAATCCTGCCAAATTTCACCCACACCTGCTTTCGTTCCCACAAATCAGAGTTCTTCTTTGTCTGTTCTGCTTTTCATAATTAACAAACGCTTATGCAATGGCTACCGTAATGCAAGCTGCCCAGCCCTGATTTTTATGTCTCCTTATTTAATGTGGAACGGGGCATACTGGAGAAGACAGCACTGTCCATTGAATAGACTAGGCCTCCGTGTAATGTGGTCAGTAGACAGTAAATTAGAGAGGGGCTGTCTTTAAGCTGTACTTAATAATGTCAGCTGCTCCCATGCTGTCGTTTGGACTACATATGTTCTACAGCTTTCTGGAAGCTACACGAACAGCTTGATTTAAAGGGAAGGATTCACATGTTAACTTGTATTGAAGAGCGAAAACCACACAAGCATTTGTTCTACAAGCTTGGCAGATTGGACTTTCAGATTAGTGAACATTCAACAAATCATTCTCGTGTCAGTGTTCGCAAGCCTCATTAAAAAAAAAAAAAAAAAGCTAAAAATTGATCCAACATGGTTCAATCGAATTCGAAACAACTATTTTAATGTGTTTGCAACATGCTAATACTAAACACAGCTCAATAGGTTTCAGAACAGATTTTGCTAAATTTTAAATTAAACAAATTTAAACAGTTTGATTTACCAAAGTACAGCTCGTTAGGGCAGCCCTTCAGTCTCACGCCTTTTGGACTCGTCTCAATCAGGAAATGTCTCACCAGCTCATTAGTGACATCTCCAGCTGAAATAATGATTAAGTAAGAAATTCAAATATCAAAACAGTATAATAAAAAACAACCAATAATACTATCATTTGTAGACCAGACTTTAAATTACTAAATGAAACCCCATGTTGATATCTGTAAAAGAACTGTATTTGTTCATATTTGAATTGCAATATTTATTACAAAATGTGTACACAATTGACTGAATTTATGTTTCTCATGATCTTAAAGGGATAGTTCACCCAAAAATGAAAATTCTGTCATTAATTACTCACCCTCATGGCTGGTGCCATTTTGGAGAATATCCGCTGGACGTAAACAGCGTATGCTGTTCTGTGTCAGCTGCGTCACACAGATACGCTGTTTTCGTTCAGATCAAATCACAACAACGTAGGAAACAGATCTGGCGTGACGCAGCTAACACAGAACAGCATACGTTGTTTATGTCCAGCTGATACTCTCCAAAATGGCGCTACAGGGTGATGCGGAGGAGACGAATTGTTGAATAAAGTTGTTTTTTTTTTTCTTTTGCGCACAAAATGTGTTCTCGTAGCTTCGTATAATTGCGGTTGAACCACTGATGTTACATGGATTATTTTACAGATCTCCTTGCTACGTTTCTGGACTTGGGAACATTTCAGTTGCATTGCTGTCTATGCAGGGTCAGACAGCTCTCAGATTCCATCAAAAATATCTTAATTTGTGTTCCGAAGATGAACGAAGGTCTTACGGATTTGAAACGACATGAGGGTGAGTAATTAATGACATAATTTTCATTTTTGGGTGAACTATCCCTTTAAAAACAGTATTTCGTGTCCATTTATTTAATATAATAAAAATATATGTATTCATTAATTTATTAAATGGACATACACTAAATCTACACAAATAAATAAATACATTTTGAATTGTTTAAATTATTGTCTGGTACAGTGGTCAATTATACTGTTTAGTGTCATTATACAAAAACATGTGACCACAGAATGCCACAACTGACCAATCAGAATCCATGTTTTCAGAGATCTATAATAATATTAAGAGTAAAAAGAATAAGTAGGGTATTTAAATCTTCTGACAGGTAGTGCAGGGAAACCACTGTCTTTGGTTTTCATCATGAAACATTACATGTGTTTCAGTGTATGTTGTTGGGTGTGTGAATGTGTTTGTCTGCTGCGAACACAACAGGATTATGATCCAGATCTCCTGTCTGGAATACATCTGGCAAATTATTATCTGCATTAGCCGCATGCGTGGAGGAGGCACATGAAATACCTTTCTTTGTAGGTTGCAGGGTCGGAGGTGGTGAGGCAACTTTCATGGCCAAGCCGTAGGCCCCTCTGAATGAATGACTGTCCCGAATGACAAAGGCTCCAGGCTCTTGATCTTTCAGCATGCTGATCGCTACAGTGAGGAGGAGAAAATCACAAAGGCACTTTATTTGGTAACATAATGGCAGCTTCAGTCTTATAAAATTCAAATAAATATAATCAATGACAAGCTATATGAATCCAAAACGTATGACATCCCAGGTTCTGTTTATTGTGCCACCAAAAGTACTACTATTAACCATAAAAAAAATATATAAGGATTCTATCCATAACACTGGACATTTAACTTTAACAAAACAAAATATGCACTCTTTCAATCATTTACAATATAAATATAACATGTTTATATATTATTCTTAAATAACAGATACATATATTCATATTATTCATATAAATATTTAAATAATCAAGAGTCATTTTAATTTAAAGAGTAGTCATAAATGTCTAGTATTATATCCATTATTATATAATATAAAAATATTTAAAAATATAAAATATTTTCCCTCCTTTTTGTCAGTCGAAATTGACATGAACTCAGTAAATAATAAATAATGGATACAAATAATGCTTGTCAATAATGTCCAAGAGGCATATGTGCCTTTATTATAGCATTTCATATTGGTAATCATGCAATATTAATAATATTATTCCATAAACACTGACGGAGGCTGTCAAACTGCACATGTAAGCATTTACATGCATTTACACTCATCATATTTTGTTTTGTTAAAGTTAAATGTCCAGTGTTATGGATAGAATCCTTATATATTTTTTTTATGGTTAATAGTAGTACTTTTGGAGTTAACGGGGAAAACCAGAGGAGGTGGATTGTGTTTCTACATCAACGAACGTTGGTGTTCAGATTACTTTATGTAAGTCGCTTTGGATAAAAACGTCTGCTATATGAATAAATGTAATTGTATTTTTCACCATGTGACATTTTCTCATCATTATTCACCAGATGTGAAGGTGAAGGCTATAATATGTTAATAAATTGCTGTAATGTACCCCACAGTTTTACACACAGAGAGATAGGGAGTGAGTGAAGGAAAAAAATCTTGCTAAGGAGGTTTATTCGTTATCGTTAAGACAAGCTAATGAAGCAACAGATGCAGATGTTCACTGGATTTAACTGAGCACGCATGTTGAGTGCCGTGTGATTTCACTGCATGTGCTTGCGTTTAAAGAGGACTCCAGCGCAGATGATCTAATCCAATAAGAGCACAGAGGAGAACCAAATGTGGAGACAAACAGCGATTGACCTCATATAGGGTGGCGAGAGACACATTTTACTGTTTATAGGAGATATGAGCCTCCATTCGGTGGTTTGAATATAGATAAATTAACACTGGAACACACATATAATGCGTCCTTACCTTGGTCTCTGGAGATATCTGGTTTATACCAGAATTTGGACGTGTCCTGGACAAACTTCACGTGCAGCCTGGTCTCTGGACTTCCATCTGGGAAATGAAATATGCACTTTATTAAGCAGATGTAATGTGGGATTAGTTTAATATGCCTTAGCTAATGAATGCACTATTCTTTCAAAACTACACTTACACACACACACCTGTCTAAAATTACCCTCAAGATCATCAGTATCTTATTTAATTATCGACAGCAACACCTACAATAAGCACACATTTCTCACATTCCAGAAACACAGATAACATAGCACTTAGTTTCTGGAACCAAACCAGAGACTGTCTGCAATGTCATTTATTAAAATAAATATGGCTGCATTTATGTGAATATAGTCACAGGTTTTGTTAGACATGCAGCAGAGTATATATCCATAATACAACATAGCTTCAAATGTCTTACTGCTCTGAGAATATGGTTAATACAAGATAAAAGTATCAAGGACACAAATTTTCATTAATATGCTTAATTTCAGTGCAATCCTAGAAGACATGCAAGAAGATACAGTCCATGACATGTAAAAAAAAAAATAATAATAATAATAATAATAAAAGTGGGTGCTCACTTTTATTATTATTATTATGTTTTTTTTTTTATATACAATGCTGTAACAAATACAATGCTGTATTTGTGACCCTGGACCACAAAACCAGTCATAAGGGTCAATTTCTTGAAATTGAGATTTATGCATAATCTGAAAGCTGAATAAATAAGCTTTCCATTGATGTATGGTTTGTTATGATAGGACAATATTTGGCCGAGATACAACTGAAAATATGGAATCTGAAGGTGCAAAAAAATCAAAATACTGAGAAAATTGCCTTTAAATTTGTCCAAATGAAGTTCTTAGCAATGCATATTACTAATCAAAAATTAAGTTTTGATATATTTACGGTAGGACATTTAATCTTCATGGAACATGGATCTTTACTTAATATCCTAATGATTTTTTTGCATAAAATTAAAATCGATAATTTTGACCGATACAATGTTTTTTTGGCTATTGCTAAAAATATACCAAAGTGACTTAAAGGGTTAGTTCACCCAAAAATGAAAATTAGGCTGCGTTTTACTCACCCCCGACGCATCCTAGGTGTATATGACTTTCTTCTTTCAGACGAATCCAGTCGGAGTTATATTAAAAATTGTCTTTGATCTTTCAAGCTCTATAGTTGCACTCAGCGGGTGTTGCATTGCTTCAGTCCAAAATACGTGAAATAAAAAGCAAAAACAGAAGCAGTTCCGGGGGAATTACGTATGAGGTCAGATTTGCGCATGCACCGCTCAGAAGTGACGCACGCGGAGAGATCGAAACAAAACACTCATCGATTCGCTACAGGAGGCCTTTGTTCACCCCCCGGAGCAATGTGAGACACTTTTTTTAATGGAAAGGCGCTTTTTATTTCACGTCTTTTGGACAGAAGCAATACAACACCCGCTGAGTGCAACGATAGAGCTTGAAAGATCAAAGACTATTTTTAATATAACTCCGACTGGATTCGTCTGAAAGAAGAAAGTCATATACACCTAGGATGCATCGGGGGTGAGTAAAACGCAGCCTAATTTTCATTTTTGGGTGAACTAACCCTTTAAGTCTCGTTTTGTGGTCCAGGGTCACATTTATACACATTGACTTCTGTCAATAAAACATTGTTGACATTGTTGCCTGTCAATAAAAACAACAATCAAGTAATCAATAAATTATAAATTATTGAATACAAAAAAAAAAAAAAAAAAGGGGAGCACTCCAAATACCATGTGAGTATAGGCTATTATTTAACAATGTAAATATATGTAGAAATAGGGCTGGGCAACATGGCCAAAAAATTATCACGATAAATGTTTTCATAATCAGTTGATATCGATAATTATCACGATAAATTTCAAATCTTTATTTCTTTCAAGTTTAAATATAGATTTTTGCTCCTAAGTAAAAGTTGTAGAAAGCAGACCATTACCTGTGGTCTTAAACTACTCTTTATGGTCAGAACATGACAAACACTTCAAGTTTTTGAATTCTTTACACTTTTCCAGTCATTTTTCCTTAACAAAATAAATATCTTAAAGGGGTCCTATTATGCTTTTTCACTTTTTCAACTTTAGTTAGTCTGTAATGTTGCTGTTTGAGCATAAAAAAGACCTGCAAAGTTACAAAGCTCAAAGTCCACTTCAAAAGGAGATATTTTATTTAACAGAAATCAATTTTCAAAAACTACAATGAACGACTCGTTTGGACTACAACGCATATTTTCCAGGATTTGTGATATCACAAATATCGACGAATGGGACGAGACCTGGTTGAGCTGCACTAGAGAAGGCAACGTATTGAATACAAAAAAAAAAAAAAAAAGTGGAGCACTCCAAATACCATGTGAGTATAGGCTATTATTTAACAATGTAAATATATGTAGAAATAGGGCTGGGCAACATGGCCAAAAAATTATCACGATAAATGTTTTCATAATCAGTTGATATCGATAATTATCACGATAAATTTCAAATCTTTATTTCTTTCAAGTTTAAATATAGATTTTTGCTCCTAAGTAAAAGTTGTAGAAAGCAGACCATTACCTGTGGTCTTAAACTACTCTTTATGGTCAGAACATGACAAACACTTCAAGTTTTTGAATTCTTTACACTTTTCCAGTCATTTTTCCTTAACATTATAAATATCTTAAAGGGGTCCTATTATGCTTTTTCACTTTTTCAACTTTAGTTAGTCTGTAATGTTGCTGTTTGAGCATAAAAAAGACCTGCAAAGTTACAAAGCTCAAAGTCCACTTCAAAAGGAGATATTTTATTTAACAGAAATCAATTTTCAAAAACTACAATTAATTTCTTAGTTTCTGCATTTTCTAGTGAGTGATATTGTTTAAATAATGACTTTGATGACACACATCTTCAGCACAGTTTGCAGTGTGGGCTGCAATATTAATAATATTACATGTTTTTGTCTCTTAGAAATGCACATTTGACAGTAGCTTGAGTTGACAGTAGCAGTAGCTTGAGTTAGGATGCAGATGTAAATTTATGTTTTTAAATTTATGTATGTAAAAATTTTTGAGTTTTATTCAAATTAACCATTGGTCTTCCAGAGTAGCATACATTTTGATCATGATAACAACAGTTAAAACCACAATGCTGCACAAATCACAGTGCTGCAACCTGTTTCCAATTCTAATTCAGAATTAACTGAATTGGAATTTGAAGGCTTTCTGATTCCAATGATACCTACTGGAATTTACTTTAATAAAGTCTTACCGCACATGTTGAGTTTGGAGAAATCAGGGAGTGTGTGGAAGAAATGAACGCTTGGAGTGCTGCCGCCACTGGACACTGGGGAGGACATCTTCCCATTGAGCGTTCCGTAGGACAGTCCACCATTGGAACGATCGCTGCTGGACATGCTTCTCTTTTCGGGGAGCTGAGGTTGGGGGGCAGGACTGCCCTGTCTGAATCCCACTCCATCTATGTATCCAGCCGGGGAGACTGGGAAAGAAGGTGTAGATGGCGGCTGGTATCCAGAGGAACTGCTCTGGCGCGAAAGGGCTCCGTGCCGCTCTTCTGGAGTGGTGTAGCCACTGTACATCGGGTGCCTGTCCAGACTGGGGCTACCCTGCGTTAGGGACGGGTGGCATCCCAGAACGGGGCTGCCCTGATTGGGATGTGTAAGTGAGGATTGCCTGCTCAGGACGGGGCTGCCCTGGTTGGGTTGGGTAATGGACGGCTGTCTACTCAACACCGGGCTGCTTTGGTTAGGCAGAATGATTAGTTGATTTAGGGACGCCTGTCGGTTGAGGACAGGGCTGCTCTGGATGGCTTGTCCCATAGGTTGTCTGCTGAAAATCGGACTACTCTGAGTCCCGTAGGTTACGGGATACTGTCTAGACAACATCGGACTGCTCTGCGTTCCTTGGGACATCATTGCGTGTCTTCCTAGCACGGGACTACTGGCCATTCCAGGCAGATGACCGTTGGTCGGGGTCGGTTGTCGGCCCAGAACGAGGATGTCCTGATTAGGTAGTCTGTGCTGGAGACCGGGAGTGGACATCACCTCGGGCAGGATGGCTTGGTGTCTTGTGCCAGGGCTTCCGGCGAGTGGCTGGATGGTGGTGGCGTTATTTTGCACAGTCTCTGGCAGAGAGGGCCTGATATCAGGGGTGATGTAGCCACCCAACATGCTGCTGGAGGTGGGGTAAGAGGGTGTGGGTGTTTGGTATGTGCTTTCGGAGTGCTGGGAGTGAAGGACAGAGTCGACAGCAGCCTGGGACAGAGAATTCAACCCAACCCCGCTATCAGTCAATGTGCTTTCACTGAAAGAAGACAAAACAAGAGAACGAGAAGGACTATGAAAGATAAGTTAATATGGGCTGCTTTATGTCTGACATTAACATACATTTGTAAACAGACAGTACACGGATTAGTATACGGACAGTACACTTTTTAGCCAGATTGCATTTTGCATTCTGATGCATTTATAGTGTGATCAAAAAGATTTGATCTCACATACCCATAAAAATGCTAATTTTTAACAGAGGTTGCATTTAACTACATTTAGCTTAATGTGGATAACGAAAACATATTAGCATTTACATAATTTGTTCATTAAATTATTGTTTGGTTATTATTAATTCTTTTTTTTCTGTGACAATCTATTATTGTAACATGGATTTATAAAAATGCCTTAGAAAACCAAAACGAAACGGTTGATAATTGTACACGTTGATAAAGCAATCTCTTCCTATGTAGGCTGATCTTCACCAAAATAAGTTGCAAAGAGGACCAAATTTATGGTGCTACTCAAAATCTGGATATTCCGGTAGGAAACCAGTGTGTGAAACTATTAAAAAATGCTTTCGAAAGTAAATAAAATAATAAAATAAAATAAAATAAATATTAAATTAAACTAAAATTAAAGATATTGCTTTGACAACTAACTAAAATAATACATAAATACAAGTTAAAGTAATAAAATTACTAAAATTAAAACTGATATAAAAATAAAGTTCAATAGAAATACAAAATAAAACCAAAATGACAAAAGAAACACAAAATAAAATAAAAAAACTAAAATTTTAACTAAAATTAAAAAGAAACCTGAATATATAAAAATAAAAGTTAATTCAAAATATATAACATATATAATATTACTATACTATAATAGTATATAAATAATACTCAAATAAAACTGTATGAAACATGAGAGTAGTGGCCACTTACACTGCATCTGGGCTCTGAATGGGGCTGCTGGAGGAAAGAGGAGCGTTGTAGGCATGGGACGGCCCGACAGGATGTGCTAAGCTGTTACTGTCATTTGTTGGAGACACAGGCGACGCTGGCGGCCCACCTGCAGCTGCTTTGGCCACAGACTCCACATAGCTACGAGGCTCTGAATAAAAGAAACAAAGAGAGAAATACCTGTGAGCACAAGAGTTTAGAAGAGTCAAAAAACAAAAGTCAAAACTAAGATAATATATAAATACTTTTTTACATCTGACCCTGAATCTTGTAGAAACATCATTAAGGTCACAAGTGAATAGGATAAAATGAGATGAAAATGAGAATGGAGATGACCGTGATGTGTAAGATGATAAAAATCAACCAGAAGATGAGGTGGTTTGGACGTAACATTGTAATTCTAAATCTTGTACATTCTTACCTTCCTCATCCTCACTCTCTGTTTTCCAGACAGCAGAAGAACAAAATCATAAGACAGAAATTGTAGAAGTTCAAAGAGACGGGGAGAAGAAGGGATAATTGCCAACATAAGCATGAAAAAACAAGTAACGATAACAGCTGTAGCGTCTGGACCAATCAAACACACAATTTTGCATTTGATTTAACAAATTAGTTATTCATTAGATTAACAAATCGTCACAGACCCCTCACCCAATAAACTGGGTGCCAGGATGTCTGCGAACGACACCAGGCCAATGAGCTGATTCGCTACACAGCTTTATTCATTCTTAAACCAATATTATTTTCTTCCATAATCACAAAAACACATCCTCTGTTTGTTTTCCATACAAGGAAAGTGGAAGGTTATTTATAAAAAAGGAAAAAAGCACCCTTAAAAAATGTAAAAGTGGTCCATATGACTTGCGCGTTGTCTCCTTTTGTATTTTACTGAAGTGAAAATAATTTGTAATGACACAAGTGTGCAAAAACAAAGAGAGCATTTGCACATTCGTGTGAATTATTACTTTTAAGAGAGCAAAAAAGGGAAACACAACCAAAGGAAACACAATGTAATCTTCATTTGCATTTTTGTTGCTCCAAATACCAGCAGGCCCCGGTGCAGATTAAAATACCCAAGTTACATCCCTTATCTTCAAAAAGCACATGACTTAATTTAAGCTAACTATAGTAAGACAACGAGGCCCCTGTGACACATCATCTCGTAATAATGTTAGTGTGTGTACTGTATGTATGGCTCTTGTGTTTTGGCAGGCCTCAAATTAACTCCCTGGGGAGCGACGCTAAAATCAGCCCTGCATGAGAACTTGTTCCAAACTAAAGAGATAGTTTACACCCGCTGGCCTCTGAGGGTGAATCTCACCAAACCTGCCGAGACAAGACCAGGTCATATATCACCCCGAAAATCAAAGGAAAAAAATAAGAAATGATAAAGGAAAAGAAATGTGGACTTGTTTTCATGTGGTTCACCCCTGAAGACATTGTAAAATGCTGCTTGCATTAAAAGAAACTATTTATTAAAATATTTTTTTGGTTATCTTTTTGCTAAGCTTGCTAATATCATGCTTAAAAATCATCATATCATCAAGTATTAAATATATCCTTGGGACAAAGAGAACGGGTAATAAATCAGCTTTAAAAAACGGCTCTGTTCCAAAAACTAGTGAGCTGTCTTGTCTACTGCCTACATAGGGAGCTACTTTCTAAGACGACATCCTCATAAGTGACCGATTTGGAGCGCTCTACATATGTAGCAACACTGAATATAATATTTTAATTGAGTTTGTGTTAGCATGGTGTTAAGATAGCATGACACTCTAATAAGAATAAAAATATATAAAATAGTCCATTTTTAATTATATTAAACTAAACTGAGCCATCTTAAATTGACATTTTCCACTAGAAATTTGTTGGATTGGCTTTTCTGTATGGAATATGCTGCTGTTGAAAAAAACATTTTTTTTTTTAATTCAGCAAGGACACAATAAATTGATCAAAAGTGACAGCAAAGATATGTATATTGCAAATTGTTAAAAAATGTATCAGTTTCCACACAAAAAAAATCACAACTGTTTTCTACATTAATAACAAAAAGAAAGTTTCTTGAGCAGCAAATCAGCATATTAGAATGATTTCTGAAGGATCATGTAACACTGAAGACGAGTAATGATGCTGAAAATTCAGCCTTGCATCACAGGAATAAACTACAGTTTAAAATATTTAAAAATAAATAATAAAAAAAACTGTTATTTTAAATTGTAAAAATATAAAAAATTATATATTTGTTCCCAAAAAATATTACAAAATAGTTCCAATCTGAAACTAATGCTTTAGAATTTGGCCACTGTGCTATCTTAGAAAGCTGCATAATAATGTGACCTTCTGTGTCAATGTTCACTTCAAATGCTACCTAGTTAGGCAGCTCACTGGGTTTTGGAACAAAACCTTTCACTCTCTCCCACAGTTACACACACACATTAAAAGACCACAGTAAAATGATCCCAATATAACTGCATATGAAAAGAAAACACCAATCCATTTAAAAATACATATGAGCTCACTGCTCAAGAGAGTAGAAAAGGAGAAAGGGAAACACTTGAGAGGGAGTAATGAAAGGTTATTTTGATATATGGCCCACAAGATGTATTTGAGCTCCCTATATGGAGCACAGCATGGAGTGGCTCAGACCAAAGCCAAAAGACCACGTGTGTCTTCATGTGCATTTCACTGTATATGTGTGCAAAGCCTCACCTGAGCCTGTCTGGTTGAGCAGTATCTCAGCAGGGTTGTGGGGCTTCAAGCCCAGGAAGGACAGTGGCGTTTTAGCCAGTCCTGGAGGAGATCGACCTAAAGCGACACAGAACACAGAAAGATATTATTCAGAGTGATATCAACTTACAACATACTTTAAGCAAGTACATCAAGGCAAATGCTTGTAGCTTGGCAAGCTTAATTTCACGTATTGCTGAAATCGGAACAGGGTTGTCAATCAATTAAAAAATAACAGAATTAATTTTGTTATGCTCCATCAAGTTGTTTTTGAATGCAAGAACGCATTCCGCATAACCGACTCGTTCTGTTCTGCCTTTTTCATTATGAAGGACTAGGAGAGCCACTTAAATATAAATAAATAAAGGAATTAAATCAATGTTTTTATTTTAAAAATTAAATAAATAACTTTTTAAAATAGTCAATTAAACTGAAATATATATATTTTTAAATATTAAATTGAACAATAAAACATTTAAATTGAAACAAAGCATTAAAAACCTAAATATTTTTTTACAAATTGCTTTTCTTTATCCATTTGCCAGTTGAGTAAAAAAATTCCATTGGACAGTTCACATATGGAATTAGCATATAAAAAAATAATTTTAATATGCTGTTATGAGTCAGAGAGCATGATTAAATGTGTTAATATTGGCTGGTTAATGAACTGTATTAACTTAAACAGCCCTATTTCCAAAATGTGTCAGACTGCAATTCATAATGCATTATGCAATGCTGCAAGGGGTGCTACTGTATATAGTGGTCTTGATATGTTTTTAGCAAACCACTTGAATAATCCAACACACATCTGGTTTAATGGCACAGGCAATTGAAGGTAACTCTATCACCCCCTTGAGTACTGAGGTTTGTTACCATTTGAGCAAATCATGTTCAATATGATGGTGCACTTGCAATGCATTGGCCAAGCATTCACATCTGCATTTGCGTACTTGCACAAAGTATGTTTTTGGTCCTTAGCCCTTATAATACAGATCAGTGTGTACCACTTCCATCTTCAAGGCGTCAGCATTTGACAATCTTATGAAAGCGACCAACTTCCAGACCAAGAGCCTTTGAGAGACTATCGTGATACACACTGAGCTTTTAAAGACATCAGACTGAGGTGGCTATTTCAGTATGTGACATGGCTGGGGAATGAGCTAATGTCTCATGCTCTGTGGCAAGGCCGTGCAAGCGCCTCTTTAAAAGAGTTAATGATGTGATTAACACTCGCTGTAACGGTGCCCAGTCAAAAGAACGAAAACAAGACAGATCATGCAGACAGAATACAACTCAGCTGAACAGATCTCGAAAATGTCACATTGAAAACATTCAAGACCTCACTACACAACGATTGCTATGAACAACAGGACGAGTCATTCAAAAACAACAAATAAACAGTGGTGCCCAGCAAAACAAGACTGGTGTGAAAACACAAATGGGGAAAATTAATGGTGATGTGGATGCAGAGCTGTGGAAAGCAGCACACTTGAAGACAGCGAGAGTTTTGTGTTTATAAAATTGCACAAATTCAATTTGCATAATCAATTTTGTGTATTGTTGCATCCTGAAATGTGTCAGAGCATAATGCATAATACAATACATATTGCACCCAAAATGTGTGTGTGTGGGGGGGGGGATATGATCAATTATCATTTTATTTTTTGCTTTCAGACAGTTATTCCTGGATGTTCACTAAAAAGCTTGTTTTACCACAATAGCTGATTGACAGCTGGGTGGAATGGGTGGTCCTGTGATTGTGGTTTGAGCGATCGAATCACACTGTTTTGGACCTCATGATGTGTTTGGGTATGTGTTCTTCAGGGCTGCTCTCCACATGCATTCTGGGAAAGGCTGAGTATATGCTTGCATTTTGGCAGGCCCGAGTTGATATAATTGCTGACACACATGCATCCTCCACTTACCAAAGAATCCAAATCAATTCTTTGTTTGCCAGAATAAGTGCCTCAGCATTGGACACAAGGAGAAGGGGAGGGGGTTCTATAGGGAAGCTTTCCAGCCTCCCGTTCTCTGCAGGAGGAGGGAGCCACAGAGACGTGCTACTAGAAAGTGGCTACTGGAGCATGTGAGTGTCTGTCCACCTCCGAACAGAAAAAGAGCCCCTACGGGTCACCAGCTCCCCAGGAATCCAACAGAACCACCCAGAAAGTTTATGGCTATGGTTAGGTGACATATCCCAGCCTTTTGGTGATGTTTAATATATCTCAATATTTATGAATTTTGCACTGAAATGACTTAAAAGGATAATTTCTTCAATAATTTCCACCATTTCAACAGCCATTGTTGCCAAGTACATTAAAATATTTAATTCAAAAAGTAAAATACAGTAAAAATCTGAGTGTCTGTCCACCTCCGAACAGAAAAAGAGCCCCTACGGGTCACCAGCTCCCCAGGAATCCAACAGAACCACCCAGAAAGTTTATGGCTATGGTTAGGTGACATATCCCAGCCTTTTGGTGATGTTTAATATATCTCAATATTTATGAATTTTGCACTGAAATGACTTAAAAGGATAATTTCTTCAATAATTTCCACCATTTCAACAGCCATTGTTGCCAAGTACATTAAAATATTTAATTCAAAAAGTAAAATACAGTAAAAATCTGAGTGTCTGTCCACCTCCGAACAGAAAAAGAGCCCCTACGGGTCACCAGCTCCCCAGGAATCCAACAGAACCACCCAGAAAGTTTATGGCTATGGTTAGGTGACATATCCCAGCCTTTTGGTGATGTTTAATATATCTCAATATTTATGAATTTTGCACTGAAATGACTTAAAAGGATAATTTCTTCAATAATTTCCACCATTTCAACAGCCATTGTTGCCAAGTACATTAAAATATTTAATTCAAAAAGTAAAATACAGTAAAAATCTGAGTGTCTGTCCACCTCCGAACAGAAAAAGAGCCCCTACGGGTCACCAAAAAGCTATATGAAAGTTTGAAACAGAAAATAGTGGTTTTCATCTTGCCACTTTCTTTGTGAAAAAAACACATTTTTACTCAAATGAATCAAAATGGATTTATAGCGTTTTGGAACCAAACTCTTCAAATAATGATATTGAGGCATGTTCATTTCTATGCACCAATATAACATTATAAACAGCTAAATTTACCTACAAGTATTTTTACTAAAACATTTTAATACTTGAAAAAATCCTATGTGAAAAATGCTAATATTATGCAAATACGCAAACAAATTGTCGAATCAATTCAATTGAATTAATTTATTATGAATTTATTAATTGAATCATTATAAATTTCCTGAAATTTGAAATGATTCATGTAAATGAATCTTTTTTTGCTATTAAAGTTTCAGTTACATTCATTTTATTATAAACACCATTTACCTACATATATTTTAATTAAACCATAACAGTTTTTTTGAATGGTAATGCAAAAGAATCAATTAATGACTTCTGATTTGATTCTTTTAAGCTGATAGTTTGACCTGAATTGAACTTACCAACTCTAACGCCAACTTACCAAGTCTTAGCGTTCTCATATTTAAGAATTATAAAACAAAGAGGGATTACAAAACTTTTCCAATGAAACTGTATTTAGAAGCTTGTAAATAAAGTGCACATTATATCACCAGCAAAACCATCACAAGTATATCATGAACATTCAATATACTGTACCTCCCAGCCCTAATGTTCACTAAATATCCTGTGGTAATGTAACACAAAAAGGACAGGATTAGATTGATTATGTTTTGTGTTATTGTAGGCTGAATCTCGGTTTTGTTCTCTGAAGCTACATCTAGACGCTCGTGGTAGCAGAACTAGTCTGAAGAGCTTTGAACGTGAAGTGGCCTCAGGATAAGATGTCAGCTCAAGAGGATGACTTGAATTGGTTTCAAATTAGGTGTCTGGTAAAAAAGAAATGCTGTGGAAGTCCAAGGAAAACAGAGATGCTTAACATTGTGTGTGTTTAAACTTATAAAGAGGTTACAGACTTTTACAAGCAGCTTTATATTAAACCTGCAGGGACAACATGCTGGATGGGAAGATGAAGCAATAGGTTATAAAAACCTGAACTGGAGAAATTCATCTGCACATGAAACCTGAGGCGCAAATGTGCTTGTTCTTGCATTAAGATACAATGACTGTGGAGGCTAGCATGCCACAGAAAAACTGCTGACAAAAAGCATTTCTCAGGCCCACAGGCATTGGGAATTGCTGGGGAGCAAGTGTGAGCAGGGTCTTTCTGATCTGAGCACTTATGCCTGTCTATGAGCCAACACAAAGTGTGTGTTATCACTCAAACGGAGGTCACACATCTTTAACGTTGAGAACATGTGAATGAACTATAGCATATGTTAATGATATCTACTGGCTCACGCAAACACCCCGAGGTAGGGTTGGATTTAAGTACAGCCAGACCTCACGTTGGCTTATAGACAGTGTGTTAATGTAATGTTAGCCCTAAAGATTCTTTTACAGAAAGAAGCAAAAAACCCACCACTATTCTGATGTGCTAATTATTAAACACAATGACTCTGTTCCAAAACCTAGTGAGCTTTCTTGCTCTGCACCACATACGTTGCGCTAGTGCATTTTCGTATTAAAACAGCGTTTTAAAATGAAAAGGATCCTCGTCTACACTGGCATTTTCACTGCATTTCAGAAACGATCTCCGTCCAAACTACACAACCGAAAATGCGTCACATGACCATTCATGCACACTGGGCATGCATGTAAAAGTGTAAACAGGAAGTTGGTTGCTAGTCACTGGCAGGTACAACAATGAGCATAATGGTGAGCAAAAGCAAGGACGTTTTTGTTGATGATTGCTCTAAGCACAGCTCGCCTCTTGGGCATGTAGGCAGCTGATGTATTATAAAATACTGAATTTATCTGCACAATGGCTGCTAAAAATGACAACAAAGCCAGGAAAGTTTGCAATTCAGTCTTCATGTCACACAGTCGTCAAGGATACGCAGAGCGAATGTGGGCAGCCATACCATTGTTTTTAAAAGTCTCCGTTTTGGTCCGTTTACACTGAAACACAATCAAACTAAAACGGGGTCTGCAGCCTTTACGAAAGTCTCTGTTTTCGAGGGTCAAAAATGCCGGAGAAGTGTAAATGACAGGCGTAACCGTAGCAAAAGTTATGTGTTTTAAAACAAAAATGCAATAATGTGAACGTAGCCCAAGTCTGCATCCTAACTGATCTGTGACCTCATAAGTGAGCAATTTGTAACACTCCACATGGGCAGTGGCGTCATACATGTGAAATCCAACTTGCAATTGATTTCAATTGAGTTTCAATTGAGATTCATGTTTGCATTTTGCTAAGCTCATGGTAAATTTAAATAAGAATACAAACAAAATACAGTACATATTGGGTAACCCAGTTTTCAATAAGATTGAACTACTTTTATCAATACTTTTATTTACTGAATGATTTATATTTGTAATCAACACCTGCCCGCATTCTCCACCATCTCAGATTGTTTATTCATAGTTTCTTGCAATACATTTTCTCCGTGAAAGGTATAAGCAATGCTGCTTTAGAATTTGGCTTAAAGAAGGCAATAATCATGCTGACTATGTTCTGGAATAGCATTTGTGTTAGAAGCACACCTATGATGTACACCTATGTAGGCAGTTCACTATATTTTGAAACAGAGCTTTCCTCTAAAAACTGTATGATACCAATAACATCTAAATAACTGGCAGTTTGACTTCATTGTAGTTTCTTGCCATGTTTCTATAGTTTTTTAGAACTTTACTCTTTACTTTAAAACTATACCAATAATATCCAAACAGCTGACAGCTGGACTTCATTATAGTTTCTTGCTATGCTAAACACTTGTGTTTTCTAGATCATCAAAATGAACAAAACCAATGATCAGTGATGGTCGTGACCCTTTTAAAATGTTAACAAAGAGAGGCAGTGATTCTACAGCTCTATGGCGTCCTCCTCCTCCAGCGGGGAAACTTACTCAGATTGAAGTAAGGGGTTTGTGGCGAGACAGGGAAGGCAGGGGTTTGGGGTAGGGCCTCACCACCAGCGATCGGAGGGGGGCTGACGGGACCCCCATCCATTTCCTCAAATGCTTCTCTGTAGCTGTGCATGTGTCTCTGGAGAAAGAAGGACAGGTGGACACATATCCATATGCACAAACACATATACACCCACATTTATTTTTGGGATTAATACTAGGGGTAATATCCATGCGGTCTACCTCCTTGGGCCGCCCCCCAGGGTTCATAGCAATCGTATTGGCCAGCTCGGGTGAGATGCAGCGGATGGGGGAGCGGACCGAGCTTCCTCGGGTTGGGCTCTCATCTTGGGAAAGGTCCTCACTGATGGTCCGGCACCGTCCAGGAACTGAAGTTTCATCTGGTGACATTTCACCAGACTGAACTCCTGCCAAGAAAATGAATATATGATGTCATCTCTAACAGATACATTTTAGGGCCTGCAGAAGAACATTCATCATACCTGATAATAAAAAATATCCAAATGTCAAAATATTCCTTGAAGAAATCCATGGAAAACTGCCAATGAGCTCTTAAAAATTAACTCTCTGTCAAAAGCTGCACTGCCGTCCAATTTACACCACATAAAAGCCTGTTGGAACTACGAACAATGTTCTCATTCAAACAGCCTAGATTACAAAAAGCAGGAATATTAGAGAAACTCCATGGATTTAAAGGGTAATGTGTGCTTCTGGATAAAGCTCTGGAACAGCCTCAAAACAACTTCGAAGCCTATTTCTTCCCGTTCTGTTTGATCTCAAGAGTCTATGGTGTAAATAAAACTGGATTTGTGTAAGTCTTCTCTAGTAGGGAGGCAAAAACAGAGAACAGAAATGATTAACTAAAGGAGTCTGGTAACTGAAAGCCGGTGGAATGGACCTCAATTAAAGTTGTTTTCTAAGACAAAAATCACTATTATAATTAATTAATTCATCCATTCAGTGACGGAAAATCATAATTAAAATAGTTCAATCTAATTAACAGTTCATTGGTTTACTTGATATTTATGTGTTCTGTGTATTTTTATTCTAATTATAGTATCATGTCATTAGCTTAGCAACATGCTAAAGCCAAACTCCACTGCAATTGTAAGTAGAATCTCCTGTGCTCTTTGTGTGAGTTGCCTATCAAGAGTGTTTATCTAATAGGGAGTTCAAAATAGCAAATAGAAAAAAATAACATGAAATGAAAACAATAACATGTTAGATACCAGATATACATGCTACTAGCTACATGCTACTAGCTTCTAAGCAGAAAGACTTTCCCATATAAGTAGAGACTTTAAATGTGCTCAGGCTGAAAGACTTCAATGTATTATGGTATGTGCTAGGCTTAAGCAAAGCTGATTCACTATTCACTATCAACTTACAGATAAGAAAAAAGAGCTTTTACGGGTTCTGTGAAAGCATGTACAGCCACACACAGTTTTAAGCTCATTCAACTGGACTCAGTTTGAGAGCGAGCAAAACATTAATACAATCTGGTGGGAGTGAGTGGAATATCATGGAAACCGGACAACAGGCTGAGCAAAATATTTATTAGCTCCCTGAGCGCGGCCTGCAATTGATACATGCGGTCAGACCACAGCTCAGACCATCAGAACCTCACGTGCGCTGGGAAACAACTTCAGAGAGATTGACCACTTCCACTTCTGGACAAGTGGCCACCCTTGTTCTTAAACGTGATGTTAGCCAGACATCCAGGATGCATTTAAACCACTTCTGGAGTGCTGCCTGCAAAACGAGCAATTCAGAACAATAGGGTAATGATGTCACAAAGGGAGGGTCTTCAAAAGGGTCCTCACACTCCATCTGCAATCTATTCACATTCCTGGATCAGACTTGTGCGGTTTCTACGACAACGTCAAACATTCGGATCCCGAAACTGACTGGTCTGGGAAGCGATGAATCCAGCGCTTGGATGTGCTGGGATATCATATGGTCTACATCCCCCAGTGTCGCTTCAGACAAGGTCGGGAGAGGAAACATGCAAAGCAGATGTTGTACGCCAGATCTACAGCTGTGCATGACAAACTGTGCTGTTACCTTAGTGATCACAATGTCCTAATAGATTCAAGCTGCTGTAACTGAGGTGATTCAATCAGAGAAACCATCATTTAAACCAAAACAAACTCTGTTAGATTCAAAATGCATAATGCAAGAAATAAAATTAAATATAGTCAAAATAATCAAAGCATTAGTTTTCACACTGTTATTCACTAAATGAACAAAAGGAAGAATGATATTTAATTATATTCATTAATATAGCAACAATATAGCAACAATATAAACAATATTTTATTTATATAATCACAACACATTAACGACTGCAAAATTGTCAAATGACACACTTAACTGTCAGAGACTTAATTGCCAGATCAAAAGCATCAAAAGCACTTTTACAATGCTTCCTCATCTTATATCAATAGTAAAATCATTACAAATATATTTTGAGTTAAGGCAAATGAGAAAAAAGTTTATTCTTTTTCTGGCATAGCTTTCTCCTTTCTAAACCTCAGGGATCCAGCATGAGGTGAATAAGATATCTAATCTGAGAAGCAGGATAAACTGCTCTTTCTCTCTCCGTGGTCTCGTTTATGCCATTGTTCTATCTGTATTGGATTGGATCAGACTCAGGAGAGGTCCAAGACAAACATTCATCCTGGTACCTGGCTACTGAACACGGCCTGCATGGGCCCTCGAACGGGACCGAAGACAGTCAGTGTACGAGACGTTTACTCCCCTGTGGCAGATAAGGATTGTATAATGGTCTCCAGACTCAGGGAGGATTTATTACCCTTTGTCCTTCATATAAATGCTTAAACCGAGGTAAAGGAGAGTCCTTGAATGAAGCCAGTGTCTGCTCTCCTTGTTATTGTTCCCGAGGTCTGGTAGACTGGATCTTGTGACATGGGCTCAGTTGATCCAGACAGACTGGCCTTTGTCCTGCTACTGTGTAACTTTAACTCAACACATAATACAAATGCAATTTGTTTGTAGTGGTCACCCAGCACAAAGGAGCAAACTGAAGTAATACTCTTGTTAACTGTTATTTCACCCAAACAAGGTGAAATTCCAACACAGGTTAATGGTTAAGGAAGAGTGTTAAATTAGTGAGGGAGATAAAGGAGAGAAATTAAAATAGAGCAAATAGTGAAAGAAATAGTAATTAGGAAGAATAAAGTCTCCCATTTCCTATTACTTGCCACAGTTTACTCCTTTGTTAAAGATATTTATCCCAAAATTAAAACTGTGTCATCATTTACTCACCCTCATGTCATTCCAAACCTGTATGCCTTTTTTCTTTGTGGATCACAAAATATTTTTTTGTGATTGTTTCAACTGTTTTCATCAATACTACGAAAATAAATGGGGTCCAAAACAACACTGTACTCCATTGTCTTTTAAAATATCTTCTTTTGTGTTTCACAGAAGTCATACAGGTTTGGAACAACATGAAAATGAGTAAATGATGAGAGAACTTTAATTTTTAGGTGAACTATGCCTTTACATTTACATTAGTTCACATACTTTTTATTTTATTTTATTTTATCCAATTCAAATTTAGTCACAACTATCTGTTTTATAATAACAATTACAAGTACAATATTAATGAAATAAAATAAAAAAACAAAAAATAAAATACAAAATAATAATAAAATAAAATACAATAATAAAAAAAATATCCAGCAGTTTTATAAAAGCAAGTGCTCTCATTGACATAAAAAAAGAGCAGGGAAAGATAGGGGGCGAAAGTGAGAGAGAACAGAGAAACAGCACACAACCACACAACATGCACAGGTGTTATGAGTTAATGTCAGCGGGCAGCACAGAGCATCAGAGAGACCAACCACTGAAGGAGAAAGAGCGGCGGCGGTGGCCGAGCTCAGGAACGCTTTGCCTGTCACTGATGCCTTGGATAAGAGCAGTGTACTCTGCACACCACCGGGAGGAGGAGGAGGAGGAGGAGGAAGAGGAGGGATGATGGCCCGTGGCAGGAAGTAAAGGAAGAAGGTGAAGAGGAGAAAGGGAAGGCGGAGGTAATGATGAGACGGGTGTTCCACAAACAGGATGAGAGAATGAATAAAGAGGGGGGGAAGAAAACATTAGCACCTGTTAGCATAATGCTAATGGCAAATATCTTCAAAAACGGGCAATATGGTAGGGCTGGGTGATATAGCTTAAAAAAATAAACATTTCCAAATACGTTGTGAATTTTCGATACATTGCCCAGTCCTAACATATAGTATGTATTTACCTTAACTTCAGTTGGAAAGATAAACACACACTATCTGTGGCAGAACGCTGCGGATGTTAAATGTAGACAAAGTGTTCCCCTAATTCTAGATAATGACAGGTCTGATAATCAAATCTCACTATTAGATACTGAGAGTTCTTCAATCAGTGTTGCAAGAGCTTGTGTCAAGAGCAAGGACTCAAGGGAAGGTTACAAAGAAAGAGAGCAGCTTCCTCCTCATGCAGTCCTTCTCATTACAGGAACACTTATCTATGCTGAGTCAACAACACTACTAAGCTGCAATAAAACAGAAACATAGCTGACTAGGTTTGTCAATGAGAGTTATTTCCTCTCAGGTTTAATGTTGGTTTCCTGCTAACACAGCTCTTGTGGCTCATCATCGGACAAAGCTCTTCCTATCAGTTTGTGACCTTCATAACCTGTTTGATGCTTTTAAACATTAATTTGCTAAGATATTAAAGATAAAGAAGGCACAATATGTAATTTTCGCCGCTAGAGGGTGTGTATTTAAAATAAACAAATAGACAAAGGTGTAGTTTGATGACGCCGTGACTGAGTGTGGAATCATGGGAGTTGTCGTCTTCATCCCCACAGCCGATGCAACTCAGGCAGAAATCATATTCATGGATAAGCTAATGATTTATTAACGTAGTAGAATGAAGCAGGGTGAGGCTGAAAGTCGTCGAAGCGAAACGAGGCCGCTGAACGAGCGTGACACGGCTCGAAAGCAGCGGAGCTTTTATTATGCCACAGTCGACCGCTTACGCACCTTCCGGAAAGCAGCGGAAGCAGCGCTGTTTTATCATACTAGATACATTTGAAAGTTCTGTTATAATGCTACTCTGTGTGGTCATCACCGTTCTATTAAAATGCACAACATATTAAAGCGTCATTGGTGTTTCCATGTTTTCTTCAAAACAAAACCGGAAATCGAGGGGTTATGACGTCATTGGCAGGCGACACAATGACACTATGGACACGGTCCGTGTCACTAGTTAAAATTGCTTATTTCGCTGGATTTAAACATTCTTCGAAACATTTGGGATAATGTAAGTACACAAGTCAGCAAAATATATAACACTGTTCTAGTGGTTTTTGGATATTTTAATAAAAAAATCTTACATATTGTGCCTTTAACTGTGATACCTGTACTATACAACCACTAGGGGGCAAACGTGAGCCCAGTGCCAATGCATCAGCCCTAATTCAAGTAACAATATGTTTTACATTTATGTTTTTTGGCAAATGTGTATCAAGGATTAGATGGAAATCTATTTATACAGTGTTTATGGCATTTTGGGTTGTAAGATCCATCAGCAGTATGTGGTAGACTTAGTAATAACATCTTTAATTTAAACTCAACATTGGAAAAACCTAAACAAGTCATGGTGAATTTAGCCTGCAACAAAACAAGACTGGGACAACAAGCAACTCTTACATGCTGCCATTATTCTAAAAACATTGAAAATGAGAGGACCTAGGCTTCCAGGAAAATCTTCCGAAACTTTCAAGCTGAACAGATAATGTTGACAGAAAAAAAAATGCACTGCCACAAAGCAGCCCTCAGTTGTTTGGGCACTTCTCCAGATGTAATGTACAAATGTTCGGTTTGGGCTTGGCACAAAAAAGAAATGCGGTCTGATATTGAGACTTGAGCCAGAAGCACTTTGGACAAAGCGTTCTTTGTGATCTCACAGTGCTTATGTCAACACCAACAAAGAAACTCCACCAAAAAAAGGCACAGCCTTGAGTGTAAAAGGCAAGCTCTCAAGACAAGCTTAACTCAAGCACTCAAGACAAGCATGGAGATGTTTTGCTTTACTACATTTCCCTTGATAGCTTGTTTCAATTCGCATTCTGTATACATAAAAATATGCATGAGTAATGTAGCCTAATGTTTAAAAGTCTTGGCTGGTTATTGCCCAAGGAATGATTAATGTATCATTACTATTGTACCTTTGAATAAGTAAACTGACTCTGAGAACGCTGAAAGAGGTATTTTAAAGCTGATCTTACCAGCTACACGGTGAGCTACAAGACCATCCAATTTGTAGTTGGCATCTTCCGGTTCAGACTCTTTAGGCAGAGGGGATGAGGAGGCAGAATATCTACGCTGGCTCTCCTGGGGCTCAGGGGACTGGGACGTGGTACTTGAGGGGTAAATGTTGAGGGGTTTCAAATGGAGAACTCCAAAGGCGGAGGAAGGCACTGTGAACTGGGACATTGGAGCCTGACCTTCTGCCTCAGAAAGGAATGCAGAATGCTGGGATATGGCTGTGGGTCTCTGCTGGTTCGTGGTGGGTTGTGGAGGCTCTGTGGCTACCTGTTGAAAGGTCGAAGGGTATCCCCCCGAACAGACTCCACCACGGCCATGAATGGCTGCGTCAGCTTGGTAGGACGGCCGTGCTTGGGTTTGAGAGAAAGATGGTTGGGTGGTGACCACTCCATCTTCACCAGATGGAGCACTATGGGACTTGGGGACTTGAGTAAGTGCTGGGTCAAGGTCCTGCATCAGCATGTTGAGTGCTTCAATGGACTGTTCAATTTCTTGCTGAGATGCCATGTGAGGAAACTCCGGAAGGCTGTGGGATTGCAATACAGGGTTGAAGGTGACCCCATCTGTGACTGGGACCTCAGGAACACCATATTGTTGCCACACATTCAGTCCCCTCTGCACTGCATCCTTACTGCTGGTTGTGCGTGTGGGAGCTTTGGGCATGTACTTCTGCTCTGTGGTCGGGGCTGCCCCTAATGATTGAGATCGGTAGATGTTGCCATTCTGGTTGGCATAGTCACTAGAGGACCCTAAGTGCTCTTGGACAGATGAGGAGCTGTGGATTTTGGGCTCTGGTATTTTCTCATGGACACCCTTCTCCAAGTCATGTTGTGCATCTTGTCCATTGATGACCGTCTCTGACTGGTAGTATAGCTCTGCTGGAGTGGCTCTGCCCTCAAAAGATGAGATGGTTCCGAGACTGTCCACACTGTTCCCTTCCTGGCTGTTGGGCAGGTCATCATCAAGGATATCTGTCTCACGGTCTATGTTGTTGTGTCCATTGACATGAACCTGGGCGGGGACGAGGTGTAAGACTCCACCGCCTACGCTGCCAGCGCTGTTTTGGTAACCTGTGCGATGCATTGGTGCTTCCAAACCACTGAGCAACTGGTCCAGCTCCTGTTTTTCCTCTGGGCTAAGGGGCTGGGAGGACGGCTGACTCACCAAGGCCAGCTGATGGCTGGCTTCATCCGTGCGGTCGGTTTTGATGGAAGCAGTGGAATTGCCTGAGTCACTGCTTACAGACAAGGCGTGGTCAACTGGTGGTAGAGTGTGGTCTACAGCAGGTAAAGTGTGATCGACAGTGGCTGGGACACCATTGGTTGTGACCCCTCCCTCGAGAGACTCTTTCTTCCGAACCTTAGCGTAGAGACTACCATCCAATGGACCTTGTGTGTGAATAACGTCTGTAGAAGTCAAAAAGAAAAATGGAATGTGTTAATACATTTAGCTGTTTCATATATACACATAAAAGCAATAAGCAACTTCACGTTGTGACTAAGAATACCAAGTTATAAACTTAATTTTGTCATTTATGTGTCACATCACTCAATTATATTATTAGGTCCTACCAACTACCAAACTACTAGCTAGCAACAGCATGCATTAACATGCTGAATAGTGAATACTCATTGAGCACATTATTCATGTATCCATCCAAGCAAAAGCTACAAAATCTATTCTAAATCCCAACATAACTGGACATTAAACACTATTATAGTTTAAAAACTCTTGTTCAAAAAAGCTTACAGTAACACTTAATTTCAAAATTAGTCTCCCATACAGTCCTTATTAAGTCCTATACAAAGCATGAAGAGAACTAAAATCCCTTGCCCAGTTTCAGTTAAAGGGATACTTCGCCAAAAATGATGTTTTGGACCCTATTTACTTTCATTGTATGAACAAAAAAAACACAAAATATCTGTTTTTGTGTTGCACAGAAAAAACTCATAGAGGTTTAGAATGACATGAAGGTGAGTAAATGATTACATTTTTTTTTTTTAAATCTCTTTAATGGCAACAAAAATTATTCATTATTGGAGAAAAGGGATGTTAACCCCTTGCCCATAGTGGACTACTGAGATACATGTGATTGTTTTTAAGCACGTAAACACTTATGGAGTGAGCACTCAGTTTGTCAAACGAGCAACTTTTTGAAAGTCAGGCGGATTCTCTTCCTAAAACATGCACGTGTACTCACACATGCAACAAACGGCAGCTCCACCTCATGCAGTGAGTCAGTTTGTGCCTCTCATGAGAGTCCCAGTCAAAGCAAGTGACTCACCAGTGGAAAAATCACCACATACAAGATCGGAGGCATTTCCTGTCTCCTTGCAATTGTAGCATCATTTCCTATACTCACACATTAATACACACATGTTTGGACACTTATACAAACACATAACACACCTATTTTAGGGTGGCTGTGTCAATGTATCTTTGGCTCTTAACAATCAGTGTCTTGTTTCCCTGTGGTCATGCATTTTAATAACAGACTGTAACTGTTTTCTGGCTTTCCAAAACCACTAAGCCACTGTTTGACAGTTCACTCTGCATTGGCCTTTTGATATCAACAATGCATTGCAATCCCAGAAAAAAAAGAGCCGTGTACTGTTCACTGTGCTTGAGAGAATGAGACAGCCTCAAAACCACAGACTGTGACAAAATGTCATTCATTCAGATAGAGCCAGCCTGAAACACACACGCAGAGTTTCCCATGGTGTCTTAATGCAGGATCTGTCGAGCCGCAAATCTGATAATACAGCTGGGAAAAGTGGGCACAATACTCTGGACTCTGCTGTGCTGTTTTTTTTTTTTTGACACTCTATAGCACTAATAGCTGAAGAAGAGAGACTGTGGCTCCCTAGTCATGAACAGTTGGACTTGTGACTATTGGCATAAAGCAGGGGTTCTAAACTCTGGCCCTCAAGGTCCACTTTCCTTCAGAGTTTAGCTTCAAACTCTCCTGCCTGTGACTTTCTAGTAATCCTGAAGACTTTAATCAGCTTGTTTAGATATTTTTGTTTTATTTTTAAGTGCCAATTAGAGTTATATTATCTGAAATAGATGGTACCGCAATAAATACAGCAAGAAAAAAATGTAATCATATAATGCTGCAGAAGTATTAGCCCATGACTTGCTAGTGGAACTCCGTATACATTTTGTAATTAGAATTTCTAGTAGTACATGCAGATGGGTCATTCTATGAAATGCTTTTTTCCAGTTTGCTAAAAGTGTTTTTAAAAGTATATTTTGTACAATCGTAAACATTCTAGCATAATAATGTGCTTAAGTGTTAATAAATTGTATTGAGCTATCTCAAATGAAATAAATACATTTTAATATAGAATGAGATTCTTCAGAAAGGTAACCGGGTTAACATTTTAGTTTCATTTCACATTTCAAGAGAAGCCTCAAGTGTTGAGAAAGAGGTTCTTAGAAAAATTATTGAATCCAGATTATTTCACAGACATGACAGAAAACTAAGTGAAATGCACAGTGAATATCTAGTTTACTTGCTCCTAAGCACCTCAAACATTTTTTCCCAAAGTACGATGCTACTAACCTGCTAAACTATGACTTCCAGTGCTTTTCAATCAGCGACCAGTATGCATGCATCACATGGCCTGCGAACAGACTGTGGGCGATTTGAGGCTAACAGCTCCCTCAAGATCCTTAAAAATAGACATCCCGGGTTACCTCAAGAGACCTGTTGACCTTTAGGTTATAGATGTCTGCTTGCAACAAATTCAATGATCACCTTTGACCCTGTGTCACATGCAGCTATGTGACCTACTGGTTTGACTAGGGGGTTAAACACAAGAGTACACAAGCTGATGTCTGTCAAAAGCTGCCAGCCTTGATGTTCGTTGTTGCACATCGAAAGTAAATTGGTGCATTGACCAGAAGAAACACTACCAAGTTCAGCATAATATTCAGCATATTAGAACGATTTCTGTGACACTGAAGACTGGAGTAATGGCTGCTGAAAATTCCGCTTTGCATCACAGGAATAAATTACATTTTAAAAGCCATTCACATAGAAAACAGCTATTTTAAATTGTAATAATATTTCACAATATTACTGTTTTTACTGTATTTTTGTCAAATAAATGCAGCTCTTGTCAGCAAAAAAGACTTCTTTCAAAAACACTAAAATCATACAGTCCCCAAACTATATAGATACTGCTAAATGATTTACACCGCCGCATAAACACGAGCAGCAACCTATTGTTACGTATCCGGTCCATGAACTTCCGTCTGCTAGCCATCAGAGGTCACCCTTTCCATTTCTATTAGTCAGTTTGGATACTATATAAAGATTGGGAACATTACTTGCTTTTTGACATCCCTAAATCTGCATAAACCAAACTTTGCAGGAGTGAATTCAGATGTTTCTCCTCTGTGAGACCAGGCCTAGGGCCAGAATTTTCCTTTTATAACATACCGTGGAAAAAATGAGCTTTTCTCCCCCATTCTTCCCTTTTTCTTTCCCTCCAGAGTTTCCCCTAACAATCCCTCAGCTGTTTCAAACATCTCCCAGAGTTCTAGTACTCCAAAATAACGCCCACCACGGAGGAGAGGGGCACCTCGTATAAACCTCTCAGCAGGTTAAAACTTTCATGACATGAGAATGATCATCTCAGATTAGCCGAACAGATCTCATGTTTTATTTGCACCTTAAAAACACCTCACGACTTAATATACTGACATCAGAGGAGCTGTCGCTGTCATTAGAATCTGGCATCTTGATGTGGAATCAGACACGCCTCTTTCTTGAAAAAGCAATCGCTTTCTATTTCGGCGCGCTTTTTATCACCTGTTCACAGACACGGGTGATATCACATCATGAGCAGCTTGTGTTTATCCCTAATCATCACACATAAAAATAGCAGGATGTGAACACATGCTAAAGTGCTTTAGATGTTTTTCAAAGCACAGAAATCACAAAAAGAACCACAAGAAGATGTTCCTACCTGCCTTAGTGCACAGCTCTGTAAGTGTCCAAAAAGAAAGAAAGTTTTGAAAAGTCTCTGTTTTCTTGCTCTCGAGCTCCAGCAGCTCAACACTAGCGAGCTGTGGGAGTAGTTTTGCATCAGAAAGCTCGCTCCTCTTTCTCCACCTCCTGTTTTAACTCCAATTGAGCTGTGCTGCTGAAGATGACATGACTCTTTCCTTCTCGTTGGATGTACAACACCCCTAGTGAGGTGGGCGTGAATTTATCCTCGCCCAGTTGTGTGTCTGGTGTCTACTAAAGTGACATCACTGGGGCTTGTTCTGTCGGATAGGCTTGTTATCCTTCACTAACTCCTTGGCTCTGCTCCAAAACCCATGAGATGCCTACATAGGCAGCATTTAAAGGCATCATTTGAAGGACACAAAGATTGCTCTACCAGACACTTCTAAGATGTCTTCTTCTGGCCAAATTCTACAGCAGCATGTATCTTTTACAGAAAAGGTAACCCCACAGTACACTGTGGTGGGGAAAAAAATCCTACTAAGATGGCAGACAAAGCAAGAGAAATTTAGATATAAATAGATAAATGTAATTATAGATAACTTATATTTATTCAATATTAATAAGAACAAAAAATGTATAATTAAAAAAAAAGTACTTAAATAATTTAATGCCAAAAAAGAGGATTTTTAAAATTAAGTTTACAATTCATTCAATACCAAAGATAAAAAGTTCAATATAATTAACAAATAATAGTTTAATATTAGATTATAATTCATTCAATATGAAAAACATTCAGAAAGTTCAATATAATTAAAAACTGACTTTTTAAAATTAGATTACGATTCAGTCAATACCAAAGATATTGGTAAAATGTTTAATATAACTAAAAATAAGGGATTTTTTTGTTTTATTCGAATTAATTTATTAAAAAATATTACTACAAGGCAATATAATTAAAATTGACTTTTTCAAATTAGATTATAAATTAATTCAATACAAAAAAATAATGTTAAAAAGTTTAATATAATTAAAATTTGAACTTTTAAAATACTTATAAAAATGTGTGATGTTATCTTTGCAACATGCTAATGCTAAATTCTAACAAAATCAACTGTGCAACAGTATGATGTGGATTGTAGAAAGGTGCTGCGTATGTAGAGCCTTTCAAATCGGTGACTTTGAGTATGTGTGTGTGTGTGTGTGTGTGTACTTATAAAAATGATGTTATCTTTGCAACATGCTAATGCTAAATTCTAACAAAATCAACTGTGCAACAGTATGATGTGGATTGTAGAAAGGTGCTGCGTATGTAGAGCCTTTCAAATCGGTGACTTTGAGTATGTGTGTGTGTGTGTGTGTGTGTGTATGTGTGTGTGTGTGTGTGTGTGTGTGTGTGCGCG